TCTTGTCTTGATAAACCTCATATTTGGTGACAGGACTGGTAGAAAAGAGAGTAGACTAGATGTGACTTCTTGGGCTGCCTTTCAGGCTGTGTTTTGTTCCCTGAAACTGTCCTATGGGTTGTAGTAGGTCTTAGTTTGGGACAGGGGACAGAAATGTCAGAGATCCTGTCTGCTGACAGTGTGAAGCTTTCCATGCACATCCTGAATAGCTGGAGTGGAGAACAGCTCTTCTGGGAGCTGGCAGTGCATACTTGTGCCAGTAACTTTCATCTAACCAAGGCTTGTATATAGGCAGCGCTGTAGAAATGTTCAGGCAGAGATGTTGGCAGTGCTGGGGATGTTGTGCCTGTGCACACAGAGCTACTGTGTCATCCTGCCTGTCTGGGGGACACTGGGACAATCCTGTGCCTCTTGTTATTTCACTCTGGCTGTGCACACAAATATGGGGTGATTTATCTTTGCCTTTAGAACATGACTATTTCCCACTCCATTCTTTTAGGGTAATTAATGAAACTTGAGCAGGAAATGGTAAAGACCTCTCCTGCTAGACAGCTCAGGGCAATTGAGGCACCAGGTGGTCAGGAGAAGAAATTGTACTCAACTGAATTTGTCTGTGTGCTCAAAGTGTACAGGCTGAAGTGACATAAAAAATGGTAGAAAGATGTGGAAAGTTTGAGCAGGGCTGGCTTCTGCAGGAGGAAAGCTTGAGTTCACTGAGACTCTCGAGAGAGAGGCACTGAGTTGTAAACAGAGATTTTTAAAATTGAGTGGGATTATAGGAGGTGTGTCTGGCTTAAAAAGGAAGGAAATGTTTTGTAGCGTGTCCAGTTCAGCTCTGAAACTCACTGCTGCTGGATGCCTTTGTATGTACTTACCTTTTTGGCCTTCTTAGGACTCCTGGATAACCTCACACAAGACAGACCCACTGGAGGCCCATTAACACTTGGGTACCAGCTGACTGAGAGTGGCCAGGGTCTGCATGGCTGGTGCCAGGAGGTGGATCAAGCATTTAAAAAACAATCAGGCTTTCTCCTTCCTAAATGTCCTGCAGGACCTTTGGGCTGGTTTTGAGTTGATCATCAGGTGACTGTTATGCTTTTTTCTGGAGGATGCTCAAATTTTGACCCAGGGCACATTGCAGAGAAGGTCTGGAGAACTGCCTGATCTTGGGAGCACCTGTGGTCCTTGTCCCCTCTGGCTCCAGAGCCAGCCTGCAAGAAGCCATGCGGTTTGTCCCGTGTGGAATTATCCCATGTCACTTCACTTGCCTCTTTGAAGCGGCTGATGAGCTAGCTGTATGAGGCAAGGGGAAGGAGAAGTAGTGCAAGGGGGCAGCGCGAGGGCTCTGGAGCCGCAGGAGGATGTGTGTTCGTGCCCGGCTCCAGGCCGGGGAGGCAGCGCTGCCGGTGGCTTGCCGGAAGGTGGCGCTCCAGCCCCGTGCTGCCTGTCCCCAGGTGCACACCGAGCCGTGGCTGAGGATGGTCACCTGTGGAGGTGGGCACGAGTTAACTTCTCCCCTGACCTTAGCGGAAAGCACACGAACAAAGCTGACCCCAGAACGCAGCGAGGCAGCAACCCCAAAGCAAGGGCTTTATTCCCCAACTCACTTGCTGACACTGATTTTTGTCCTGTTGTGCTCCTCTCCTGGCATAACACTGACTCTTTCCTGGCTCCAGTCCTCTCCAGGATCTCTTCTGTGGCAAGTGTTGCGTTCTTAGGACCAAAATAAGGGAAATCAGCCAACTTCCTCAATTTGCTTTGTCAAGTGGTGGCTGTGGCTGGCCTGCCACTGCATATTGTGGCAAGGGAAAGCTCAGCTTGCTGGGCCTGTTGCAGTCTCTATAAACACCTGCTAGCTCTGCATCTTGCCACGCAGCTCCTCGCTTGGAAGACTGGTGGTGCTTCCCCACGTCTTTCAGCCAGCCATAGTAGGTTCTGACTGATAGGCACAAATTGTCTGTTAACATCTCTGCTCCAACACAAACAATGAACTGTTTGGCTGAGGGAATGCAGCGATGTTCTGCAGGGCAGCAACAAACAGGTATTAAGTGTTCTTGAAACAGCAAAACCCACTTCCTGAATTCAACAAGCACATATTGACTTGTGGGATGGAAGTGGGTTTTAGGTTCTTCTCAGTGATGTGCTGCCCTGCCTTTCTGTAAAGGCTTTGTTCTTTGTGTTAGCCTGACACAGTGCCATGTCCTGTCTCTCCTTCCTTCCAGTGTTCCTGTCTATGGTTGAGATAGGAGCGACACTACGATAAAGAATCCTGACTCTAGCCTGCTGT